ATCGACCGATGAGAATTTGAAGGTGCAAGGAAGGATGCCATCCACTTTCAAACTTTGTGCAACAAACAGAGATGGGAACTTATGCGATGCTCCGTCTGTTGTCCAAGCTGGAATTTTAAGACCTTCGCTTGTTTGAACAACTGGTAAAGGAGGAGGAAGAAATCTGTCTGTTACCACACTCAAATAGGAGCCTCTTGGTTTCAAACAGCACTTCTTGTCGGTGCATTTTACAATGTGTGTCAAGTGGTGGCTTGTTCATACGTGGACGTCGAACCATTTCTGATCTCTGGACAAGAGGTTTTGTTGCTGGCGCTCAGACTCTGTTGGCTCGATGTATTCAGCCACTGTCGGAAAATTATCGACAATCAACTGTGACCAAATTTCGGCTGGAGTGTTTCCTGCAAACTTAAAATTCTTCTTCTCTAAATCAACGTCGATGGGTAATACCTCTTTTGTTCAAATGACTACCGTAGGGGTGATGCGGTAATATCAATCCAGTAAGTTCCTTACTGAGTGGCGCCATTTTTCTCGCTTCTTCCTGGAGCGTTGGTAGCGAGGAATAGAGCGTCGAAGTTGGGCTGAAGAAAGCAGTGGACTTCAACCGAAATCACTTTGTGGTATCTCAGGTTCTCGGTCTGGGCCACCATTAACTGTCGACACTAAAATTGGTTTGACCAATCGATCAATACCACTCCTTGTAATGAAGTCAAACTCCTCGAGAGTAAGCAATGTTCCTAAATCAAACCCATGGCTGAAAGCTGTTGATGACGAGTGTTTACTAGATCTGATTGCAGTGTAGGTCGGTCCCGAATAACCAACAGCTACTTGTGTGTTTCCTAGACCATTAGACTGAATTTGGATTCCGGCATAGACCGAAGGAATTAGCTTGTGTCCTGCGGCCACAACCCAGCCATGGTCAGGCAGACCGACTCTGTACTCGACGTGCATCCACAGTGGACTTTGCTTGTTAGCAGCGGTCAACCCCGTTGGAACACGAGCTTTTTCATCTTGACTCACAAAGCAAAACATCATTCGGTCCTAGCATGGACGCCAACTCTCCCAAGTGCCGTACTGTTGCCGTACAAAACAAACCGTCGGTATGTTTGGCATGGTGATCGTTCTGTGTTCTAATGAGTTTCACAGGGAGCGTTGACACGTGACGCTGCCCTTCAAGACGGCAAAAGACGAAGGTAGAGCCCACTTCTACGGATTGTAAAGCCTTACATCTTCAACTGTTCAGTCAGCTGATGTAATGTGTTTATGCTTCTGTACACATCGCTCTGCCTTCTTTCATGCGATGCCGATCCATGCATAGCAATATCCACAATAGCTTCCAGTAATGAAGGCTTATCTTCCTCAATGTTCGGCCTACCAGACTTTGCCCTGACGTTCAGAGATGTGCGTAGGTCTGGATTATCTTCAAACAGATAATTTTATTTTATTTTATTCTCATCTCTTCCTTTCTGTTCTCTTTTTTGATCACCCTTTTTCTTCTTCAACTGGTTTTCCAATTCAGTTCTTCTTCTTCTCTGTCAGTTCCACATCCAGTCGCTATGTAAGCATTCCACGTTTTTGGCGTTCGTACAAGCCGGCCAGATCAGAATTCAGAATGTCAATCTGTGACTACAAATGCAGCATGGGCTGTCGCAATTCTTGATGTTGCTGAATTGCTCGAACTCGGCGCTGAATCATCAGCCTGAGCATCGGTCACTTGTCCATCAGACTGCGATGCAGAATTCTGAGGTATTTCGACAGGCACATTTTTGGGGTTTTTTTTTATTGGCAGATGATGTTTGTTTAGCCCTAAACGTAAGAAGTTCTCAATTTCTTGTGCTGGAAATCCCCTTTAATTCTTGCAACCAATGATCAACTTTAACTTGCAAATCTGTATAATTTTTAATTTCATTCCACTTTTTAACCAGTTCTTCTTGGCAAACCTTTCTGCTCTTTGTAGGATATGCCAGCACGTGCGCGTCAAAAAAGACACCGGTACATTTTATTTTTTATCCATCGTAGCGGTCAATTCGCTTCAACATTTTTTTTTAGATTTAATTGGCGTAATATAAACTTTAATTATTACATTTTATAAATGTTTTATATTTTAATGATGATTTGAGTTGAAAGTAATGGCCAGCCTGAATATTCTAAATAGATCGCGTTAAATTATTGAATTATTTGATTAGCTATTCTATGATTATTTGATTACTATGATTACTCAATTAACTCAAACTGAAACTGATACGAAGTATTTAAAAAAAAACATGAGCTAGTACGGAGCACCTTTATAGAAACATGTAAAAAACTACATTTAAATTATATGCGCAATTTATTTTATTTGTGCGAATTATTAGTTCTTGTGCACAATTCATTATTTTTTGCACATAAAATACTAAATCGTGCACACGGTATACTGAATCGTGAGCGGTTAATATTTTTGTTTTCATTTCCATAAGGGAACTCCGTAGTTAAATCAAAGATCCTAAATGGTTAAATTCAGTCACTCATGGTTCATAGCAGGGCAATGGTGAACAGAAGCATCATGCCATTTTCTGGGTACAAAAAACTAAAATGTAATGGGGGAATAAAGAATCATGGAGGACGCGTTGGCCATTGTACGCTTGCCGAATGACGTGCATTCAGTAAGCACTCCATCATTCATTATCCCTCCACGCTCAAAAATGTCTCTTTGATATCTGTCCCCAAAAACTTTTCTCTCTAAATTATTACGTTATCATAACATAATAATAGTATACAAATTGAATACTGATGTGAAAAATGTATATTTAATAAACAAATGTGCGTGATTTAAAATTATGTCGATTGATATGACAGAAATAATAGTACTTACGTTTTTAAAATTCTTATTCGAAACTATCAAGCGTTTTTAATACGACTGCTTTAAAAATGTAATTGCAGTTCCTTTTCCTGACGAAGTATTATTCTCTATAAAAGTGTGACGTAGTTTGACCTCCGGTTCTTATGTTTAACATTATACTACGATCTATACTATAAATAAAAGGTGACCTTCATACATTTAAATAATCAAAAAGTTAATAATGAAAATTAATCCAAATTCATGTTATAATCTTAGTTCTTTCGGTAAAGTCATGTTTAAGGGAAACAATAAAATAATAATATATATAACGTCATCAACACCTGATGACGACCGTTTGTGTTATGGTCGAAACGTCGTGAGAATTTTTGTATTGTTTTATATATATTTTTTTATTATTTTATTGTTTCCCTTCAACGTGACTTTACCGAAAGAACTAAGAATATGAATTACTGCAGTCACGAAAGCTTTAAATCAAAATCCAAATTCATGTCGTTATAACAATTATATTTATATTCTTGGGTCTTTTGGCAAAGTCACGTCGATAGGTCCAAATAAAATAATAAAAACAGAAAACTATGCCAGTTCCACCGCAAGCGGTCGCCTTCAGGGAAAGATGACCGCTTACGATCGACAAGTCGTAGTTTTCTCTTATTTTCTTTGAAGCTTTCTACGCGGCGGTGACTTTACCAAGAGACCCAAGAATATGAATCCCTGCAGTCACGAACGCTTCAAGTCAATTCTATTTAATTAAGTAGAAGCTTGTATTTTGATTTAAAGTTGCGCATTTTGATGTGACGTCACATTTCCTCAAACCCCCCCCCCCCCTCGTCACAACATCGTCACAAATGTCTGACCACCCCCCGCCCCCCAGGACGGCCCCTAAAGGGGGATCACCGAGGGGATTCGGGGCTCCCTTTGGGGCTCTTCGCTGCCTGCTCTTTGTTGGTCGTGGAGCTTGAGCTGGGAATCGTGGGTCAGGGAGCAATGTGTGCTACAGCCCCGCTCGCTGGCTAACTCACACGCACATCGTCAACAGTCTAGGACGGTATATCCACACTTAGCAATAGAATACAGTGATTAGTGAGTTGTTTATTAAACGCGTTGCCTCCGCTAAATACAGTAGTGCGTGCGCCTCAGTAATGACACACGACACGTGTGTCATTACTGAGGCGCAGAGACACTTGGGTAACGCAGATAACTCTATTCTGAGACAACGTAACTCTCGCCTTCCAAGACTAGAAGATGCCCACTCCAGGGTGATGAAGACGACCGCTCCGAGGTGATGACGGCAGTGCCCCCACTACAGCAGCCCAGAGCCCCGGTTCGGCCCGGCTCTTATCCCCCTCACGCCCGGCCACGCCCCTACTCCCGAACCCTCTCTCACCGCACCTGGCCCTGTCTGTCTCTTACAATTGACGACCGTTAGGTCACGTGCTTCCCCTCACGTGACCCTGTCAACGCTTCTCGCATCAATCATCATTAGCGACCACTTAGGTCTCACGTTACCCTACCGTGTCCCTGTCTGTTCCCGGTACGTTAATTAGTAACCATGGCCACGGGCAGCCGTACTGTCCCTTCATCACCCCGTACTGTCCTTACACATGGTGTGAGTGAGTGAGTACACGATGTGGTGAGTACACGATGTGTGAGTGTGTACACAGTGTGGTGAGTGTGTACATGGTGTGGTGAGTGAGTACACGATGTGTGAGTGAGTACACGATGTGGTGAGTACACAGTGTGGTGAGTAAGTACACGGTGTGGTGAGTGAGTACACGATGTGTGAGTGAGTACACGATGTGGTGAGTACACAGTGTGGTGAGCAAGTACACGGTGTGGTGAGTGTGTACACGGTGTGTGAGTGAGTGTACGGTGTATGAGTGAGTACACGGTGTGGTGAGTGTGTACACGGTGTGGTGAGTGAGTACACGATGTGGTGAGTACACAGTGTGGTGAGTAAGTACACGGTGTGGTGAGTGTGTACACGGTGTGTGAGTGAGTACACGGTGTGTGAGTGAGTACACGGTGTGGTGAGTGAGTACACGGTGTGGTCAGTGTGTACACGGTGTGGTGAGTGTGTACACGGTGTGGTGAGTGAGTACACGATGTGTGAGTGAGTACACGGTGTGGTGAGTGTGTACACAGTGTGGTGAGTGTGTACACGCACCAGCTGCCGTAGGGGCATTGCTTGAGGAATCGGCAGCAGTAGAACTGCCACTCGCGGTCCAACACCGCCTCAAAGTAGTTGCTCTGCACCCCGGCCACCACGGCTCCGTCCGAGCACAGCTGGTACCTGCCGCTCGCCACACACGAGGGGAGCCGATGAGACACCGACGGTAGAAAACGGTCCTCGACGGCAGCTGGGCAGCTCCTCGGGGTCGGATCGAGCCGAGTGTGACTCTGCGGCCGATGCGACCCCGAACGTTGAAGCCTGTCCAAAGTTTGCTGAAGTGGTACTCCGGATGAGACGCTGAATGTCAAAACCGGCCCTCGCCCCGTGAATAGCCGGGGAGCATAGGTTCGAGCGAAGTCTGACTCTGCTGCAGACACTGAAGGTAAGAACCGGTCCTCACCTCCAGACTGAGCAGTTCACAAAGATCACCCCCGTGCCCACCGTAGCACGTTGGGCTACGGTAGGCTGCAAAAGGAGTTCAATCTAAATACCGACTGGATGGGTTCAAGCGGAGCCTGGCTGTACTGCTGATGAGACCCGGACGGTAGAATCCAGCCCTGCCCCCCCTCCCCCCCCCCCTTCACCAGCCCTGCCCCACCCCTCACCAGGGCAGCCCTGCCCGGTTGTACTCCTCCCAGAAGCACTCCCCCATGACCATGGCTGGGCTCTCCACCCGGCACTGGAAGCCCCAAAGGCGGTCCACGTGGTCCCGATGTGGGCTGTGCTCGCTACGCAGCTCGCTCAGCACCTGCGGGGTCCAGGGGGGGTCGGCGGGGACAGGGGTCAGGGGGTCCAGGGGGTCCAGGGGGTCCAGGGTGGGAGATGTTCGTAAGTGGGAGAAGTTTGTAAGTGCGAGACGATCGTGAGTGCAAAATGTTCGTGAGTGTGAGACGTTCGTGAGTGTGAGACGTTCGTGAGTGTGAGACGTTTGTAAGTGCGAGACGTTTGTGAGTCTGAGACGTTCGTGAGTGTGAGACGTTCGTAAGTGTGAGACGTTCGTGAGTGCGAGACATTCGTGAGTGTGAGACGTTCGTAAGTGCATGTCGCTCATGAGTGTGAAATGTTTGTAAGTGAGAGATGTGCTTAGGTGGGAGATGTTCATAAGTAGGAGAAGTTTGTAAGTGAGAGATGTTCGCAAGTGTGAGATGTTCATGAGTGGGAGACGTTCATGAGTGGGAGACGTTCATGAGTGGGAGACGTTCTTAAGTCGGAGATGTTCGTGATTCCATAATGTTCGTAAATGGGAGAAGTTCATAAGTGGGGGATTTTTGTAAGTGTGAGACGTTTGTAAGTCCTGGGCATTTGTAAGTGCAGGACATTCGTGTAGTGACTTGTAACATCACTACCGTGTGAGTCTGTACACACACGTGACGTCGCTACGTGTGGATGTGTGAATGACGTCACAGTCGGGGAGTCTGGACGCCGTCGGTCAGTGCCACGGGGGTTGTGTGAGGCCGTGGCACTCTGGATGAACCCGGCCAGACACGTGACCGGATCAAGGTGGGGGGCCCCAAGGAGACCTTGGGGGCCACGTGCCAGAAGCAGAGCCTTCTCGAGGGTCCGTGAAGGTGGGCGTGGCCTGGGCGTGGCCTGCCCATGCCGAGGCCACGCCCACCTTCTCGAGGGTCCGCGAAGGTGGGCGTGGCCTGGGTGTGGCCTGCCCACGCCGAGGCCACGCCCACCTTCTCGAGGGTACGCGAAGGTGGGCGTGGCCTGGGTGTGGCCTGGCCACGCCCAGGCGCATATTCGCAGGCTCCGCACGAGGTGCAGGGCTGTCCGGGTCCGGGATGAAGACGCCTCATGAAGGCTGTAGCCAAGCCTCCCGTCAGCGTGGCCAAGCGGTAGCCCTCCTGGCTTGGCTACGCCAGTCGTATCAGAGTGTCAGTGCTACAGAAAATAGTTCGCAAGTGCAAGATGTTCGCAAGTGTGAGATATTCGTAAGTGCGACATGTTCGTAAGTCCGGGACATTTGTAAGTGCGGGACGTTCCTACGTGCGAGACATTCAGAAGTGCGAGATGTTCGTAATTGGGAGATGTTTGTAACTGCGAACGTTCGAACGTGCGAGTCGTTCATAAGTGTGAGACATTCATTAGTGGGAGTCTTAGTAAGTGTGAGATGTTCGTAAGTGCAAGACATTCGTAAATGTGCGACGTTCCAAATTGTGAAATGTTCGTGAGTGCGAGACGTTCACAAGTGTGAAATGTTCGTAAGTCCGAGACGTTCGTAAGTGTGAGACGTTCGTGAGTGCGAGACGTTCGTAAGTGTGAGACGTTTGCAAGTGCGAGACGTTCGTAAGTGCAAGACGTACGTAAGTGTGAGACGTTCGTGAGTGTGAGACGTTCGTGAGTGCAAGACGTTCGTAAGTGCGAGACGTTCGTGAGTGTGAGACGTTCGTGAGTGTGAGACGTTCGTAAGTGCGAGACGTTCGTAAGTGCAAGACGTACGTAAGTGTGAGACGTTCGTGAGTGTGAGACGTTCGTGAGTGCAAGACGTTCGTGAGTGTGAGACGTTCGTGAGTGTGAGACGTTCGTGAGTGTGAGACGTTCGTGAGTGTGAGACGTTCGTAAGTGCGAGACGTTCGTGAGTGTGAGACGTTTATAAGTGTGAGACGTTCGTGAGTGTGAGACGTTCGTGAGTGTGAGACGTTCGTAAGTGCGAGACGTTCGTGAGTGTGAGACGTTCGTGAGTGCGAGACGTTCGTGAGTGTGAGACGTTCGTGAGTGCGAGATGTTCGTGAGTGTGAGACGTTCGTGAGTGTGAGACGTTCGTGAGTGTGAGACGTTCGTGAGTGCGAGACGTTCGTGAGTGTGAGACGTTCGTGAGTGCGAGACGTTCGTGAGTGTGAGACGTTCGTGAGTGTGAGACGTTCGTGAGTGGAAGACGTTTGTGAGTGCGAGACGTTCGTGAGTGTGAGACGTTCGTGAGTGTGAGATGTTCATAAGTCCGAGGTGTTTGTAAGTGCAAGACGTTCGTAAGTGCAAGACGTTTGTAAGTGGGAGACGTTCTTAAGTTGGAGACATTCGTAAGTGGGAGACATTCGCAAGTGGGAGATGTTCGTAAGTGGGAGATGTTCGTAAGTGCAGAGGCACTTGTCGTACCGCAGACCCTCGACCCCGAGTCTCATCCCCTCACCTGCCCGGGCGGACACTGGAAGTAGAACCTTTGTCGGTAGACGTTCGTCCAGTGGGACTGGTGACCTCCTCCACCACCTCCGTAGGGGTCGTAGGGGTTGTAGGAACCACCACCGCCACCGTCACGGTCGTCATAGGCGTCGTAGTCCTCATCGTAGGGGTAACCCAGGGCTGGCTGAGGTCCGAACGCCACCACCACCGCCACCACCATCACCACCATTGCCAGGAGCGATGTTGGCATGGCTGGTCGGGCGCGCGAGGGTGGAGAGCGTGGAGGAGAGGTGAACCGAGTGGTGCCCATCGCTGTGGTTGGAGGAGATGGGGGTTGGGGGGTGGTGGAAGGGGCAGGGGCGGGTATAGGTGGTTACCATCACCACCATTATTATTGTTAACATCATTATCGCCACTATCATCAGTTCCATCATCATCAACATCATCGTTGCCATCAACAACAACCGCCATTTGCCACAAAGTGGCGGTGACGTCACCACCATGCTTTTGCCAGGCTATGTGCACCTTGAGGCCACGTGAAGTGTCGAACGCCCGCTGGCAGGAGGTCACGGGGCAGATCCAGGTGCCACGGGTCGACTGACTGAGATGACTAGCTGAGGCACCACCTGTGCCCCCTACTGTGCCAACCCACTGTACTTCAGTCACCCGGCACTCCGCTCTTTGTTCTGAGCGTCGCTCCTCCGCCCTCCGGTGTTGTTGGAGGGCGACTACCTCCAACTGCCCAGTAGCGTCCTTCACGAGCCTCCTCCACAGAGGCCGATCTTGACACCGCTGGTATCAATCATCGGCAAGTCCACTCAGCTCCACGTCCACCTGTACCACGTCACTCCATCTCTTCTTTAGCCCGTGCCGCGCCCGTGTAGCCCCCTCGATCCGGCCGAACAAAAGCTGTTTCGGCATGCGGTGGCTGGGCATGCGGGCTACATGACCCAGCCAACGCAGCCTTGCCTGCTGGAGGAGCTCACCGATGGGACCGTGCCAAGATCTTTCTAGGATTTGTGAGCTCCTCACGCAATCCAGCCTGGTTAAACCCAGGATGGGTCATAGGCTGGCCAGCCTAAATGTTTCTAACCGGCGAAAATGTTCCATTAGGGGGGTCCACATTTCGCAAGCATAGGGAAGGGAGGGAATGACTGTGGCTGAGAAGACCTGAAGCTTCGTGCAGAGCAACAAACCAGGTAGCTTCCACACAGCGTTATACAACCGATGAAAAGATAATGCCGCTCAACTGATTCGGAGTGAGACCTCTGCTGTTAAACTGGAGCCGGTCATAAGCACACTGCCCAGATATGGGGAACTCTCCACTCTCCACAACTGCCCCATCACCAATTGGGAGTTGTGGGGGTGGAGTGTCCGATGGTACAAAATACCCTGGCAGGTGCTTAGTTTTGGTGGGGCTGATGGTAAGGCCCCACCTCTTAGTGGAACGCTCCAGGTTAAGCAGCCTCCAACTCCGAAAGCACGAAGAACAACCCAGATCCCAGGCCTACTGATGGCATCATAGGCCTTGATTAGGTCAATAAAGCAGAGATGTAGATCTTGTTGGAATTCCCTACACCTCTGCTGTAGCAGATGGAGAGAAAATATGGCATCCGTGCAGGACCGCCCTTTCCTGAAACCGCATTGGGGCTCCGCAAGCCTCTCCTCAGCGTGCCTAGCAAGGCGATGTTGAAGAATTCTTGCCAGGACCTTTCCCGGCACACTGAGTGAGATGCCCCTATAGTTGATACAGTCTGTGCGGTCCCCCTTCTTAAAGAGGGGGACCACTAGGGCATCCTTCCATTCCTGTGGAACCCGTCCAGTGGTCCAGACTTGTTATGATGTCATATAGGGCAGTCTGTGCACAAACGCCACCCTCCCTCAGCATTTCGCTTGGGAGATCATCTCTGCCCGCTGCCTTTCCTGGTCTCAGACTCTAGATCGCCTTCAGTACTTCCGCAACAGATGGCACCTCAGCCAGCCACTCACAGTGGGTAACTTCTTCCAATATTTGAGGCACCGCAGCCTCAGCAGGGCCATCTCCATTTTGTCCCACGATGTTATCCAGGCTGAAAGATGTCCCCTCCCCCAGGACCTCACAGAAATGCTCAGCAAATCTGCAAACCTGTTCCTGGGGGTCGGAGATTGGATCACTGTTCCTTCCCCTAATGATGGTAATAGGTGTGGCGCTGCAGGTGACTATTTGATGGAAGTAAAGAGCGATGTGTGATCGCGGGCCACTGAGGCAGACTCCATCTCCTCAGCAACCCGCCACCACCACCCATCCTTGCAGCGCCTCACGGCTCTCCGAACCTCCGAGCGAAGGCTGCGGTAAGCCTCCTCATTCTCTGACGTGGGATGCTGTAGCCGATGAGAGTGGGCCTGTCGCTTTTTCTCAGCCAGCTTGAACACCTCCTCTGTCAGCCAGGGTCTCTGGGGAGGTCTGAACTGTATACCAAAAGCAGCCATTGCAGCTGCATGAGCCACAGTCCTAAACCTCGCCCATTTCCCCTCCACATCAGCAGGAGTTGGGGACGATGCCAACCCCAGCCGCAAGCTATGATGAAATTCTCGCTTGCAACTTTCAACAGCTAGCTGAGACCATGCCACTAAGGGTTTGAATGGAGTCCTGGGTGTACACCCATCACCGGAGTGGAAGAATGGCAGGTACATCTTACAGATGAGAAGTCGATGGTCAGTGGGCAGATCAGCTCCACGGTAGGTCCTGGTGTCAAGGACATGGGTTCGCATCCGCTGTTCCATCACTATGTAATCCAGAAGATGTTCTTGCTTGGACCTGGCATGCATCTATGATGTTGTGTGGATGCGCCGATGCCAGAACAGCATGTTGGTAATTACAAGCCCATGGGCTGCACAAAAATCTAGCAGCCTCCTACCGTGGTTATTGAGCTGATCTGGCCCATGCTTTCCAATCACTCCAGACCAGGTACCAGCATCATGACCAGCTCGGGCATTGAAGTCACCCAACATGATGACTCTATCCCGAGGTGCCACTTTAGCCAGCACCTGTGACAGGAGGTCATAGAAGGCATCTGACGCATCGGCTTTGCCTGCATCCCTCCACGGATGTTCGTCTTCGGTGGGGGCATTAGTAACCACGACCACCACTCCTCGCCTCCGCTTGATGGGAAGGTGAGCCCAAAGTAGCCTGGGGCTTACAGCTTCCCACACCTCACCGCCACACTCCCACACCCCCTTCATTCTTTTGTTCAGAAGAAGAGCCACTCCCAGTTGTTTGGCAGTCTCCTGCCCCGAGTAGAGAACTGTCCACACCTCATGGTGGCAGCAGCCAGAGCCGGTCCACCGGACCTCCTGAATGCCACAGAGATCCAGGCAGTACCGGTCCAGCTCCCGACAGAGGAGTGGCAGCCTCTCCTCCACAGTGAGCGTTCGAACATTCCACGTGGCCACACGTAGTGGTTTGTTGTTGTTTCTGGAGGAGCCCCGAGGGTAGATATTCAATCTCCTGGCTCCGCCAAATGGGGTTTGGCCAGGATACATCATAGACCCCTGTCCCCCCGGGGCCTCCGGCACAAGCTTATTAATAAAATGTAGTCTTCGTGGTTTAACGGTAAGTTAATTGAAGGTAGAGGGGTTACCAGCCCCACGCACCCGTCCAGAGCCCCCATTTAGCCGCTGTTGTAGTCACAAGCGCCATGAGGAGAAAGGCCAATCTGAATTCGCCCTCCCACCACAGCACTGACCACGACAGCGTTGCCCATCCGGCACCACAAGGAGGTAGGGGGTTGTTTTGCCATCACCACCACCACCACCACCATCAACATCGCCACCACCATCACCACTACCATCAACATCGCCGCCACCACCACCATCATCAACATCGCCACCACCATCACCACTACCACAACATCGCCACCACCACCATCATCAACATCGCCACCACCATCACCACCACCATCAACATCGCCACCACCATCACCACTACCAACAACATCGCCACCACCACCATCATCAACATCACAACCACCATCACCACCACCATCAACATCGCCACCACCATCACCACCACCATCAACATCGCCACCACCACTATCATCAACATCGCCACCACCACCATCACCACCACCATCAACATCGACACCACCATCACCACCACCATCAACATCGCCACCACCACCATCATCAACATCGCCACCACCACCATCAACATCGCCACCACCACCATCATCATCACGACCACCACCACCACCATTATTTCTACCATCATCGTTGCGGTTATTATCATTATCACCACTCCCATCACTACCTTCATCATCACCACCATTAATACCATCATCACCACCACCATCACCACCATCATCATCATCACCATTATTACCATCATCATCACCATTATTACAAACATCACCACCATCACCACTCCCATTAATACCATCATCATCACCATTATTACAATCATAATCACCACTATTACAAACATCACCACCATCACCACTCCCATTAATACCATCATCATCATCACCATTATTACCATCATCACCACTATTACAAACATCACCACAATCACCACTACCATTAATACCATCATCATCATCACCATTATTACCATCATCATCACATTACAAACATCACCACCATCACCACTCCCATTAATATCATCATCATCACCATTAATACCATCATCATCACCATTATTACATACATCACCACCATCACCACTACCATTAATACCATCATCATCATCACCATTATTACAAACATCACTACCATCACCACCACCACCATCATCACCACCATTATTACAAACATCACCACCATCACCACTACCATTAATACCATCATCATCATCACCATTATTACAAACATCACCACCATCACAATCCCCACTCCCCACAAGTTTATTTTTGGGTTGGATAATCCAACCAATGAATATTATTGGTCGCTAAAGCCTACGTGTTAAACATCCCCACTACCATCACCACCATCACCACCACCATCACCACCAACACCAACACTACTATCAGCACCATCAGCACCATCGTCAGCACCATCATCACTGTCACCGCCACCGTCATTAATCACCATCACCAACACTACTATCAACACCATTATCACCATCACCACCACCATTACCACCATCACCACCACCACCACCACCATCACCACCACCACCACCATCATCACCACCACCATCACCACCATCACCATCACCACCATCATCAATACCACCACCACCATCATCACCACCACCATCACCACAATCACAACCATCACCACCACCATCACCACCATCACCATCACCACCATCACCATCACCACCATCACCATCATCACCACAACCATCACCACCATCACCACCACCATCACCTTAGGCGCGGCTCTCCGAGAGTCTGGCGAAGTGAAGTGAGACGTGGAGTGGAGGTTCATGAATATTCATAAACTCACACAGACTTACACACACAGACATACACACTGACACACACACTGACACACATACACTCACACACACTCACACACTCACACAGACATACACACTGACACACACACACAGACACACACACACTCACAGACACACTGACACACACACACTGACACACACACTCACACAAACATACACACTGACACACACACTCACACAGACACACACACTGACTGACACACACACTCACACACACACAACAACAACCGCCATTTGCCACTAAGTTGCGGTGACGTCACCATGACGCTTGTGCCAGGCTATGTGCACCCTGAAGCCACGTGAAGTGTCGAACGCCCGCTGGCAGGAGGTCACAGGGCAGACCCAGGGGGTCGACTGACTGAGATGACTGAGATGACTGGCTGATGCACCACCTGTGCCCCCTACTGTGCCAACCTGCTGTGCTTTAGCCACCCAGCACTCCGCTCGTTGTTGTGAGCGTCGCTCCTCCGCCCTCCGTTGTTGTTGGAGGGCGACTGCCTCCAACTGCCCAGTAGCGTCCTTCACGAGCCTCCTCCACAGAGGCCGATCTTGACACCGCTGGTACCGGTCATCGACAAGTCCACTCAGCTCCACGTCCTCCTGTACCACATCACTCCATCTCTTCTCTAGTCCGTGCCGTGCCCATTTAGCCCCCTCGATCCGGCCGAACAAAAGCTGTTTCGGCATGCGGTGGCTGGGCATACGGGCTACATGACCCAGCCATTGCAGCCTTGCCCGCCGGAGGAGCTCACCGATGGGACCTTGCCCAGATCTTTCAAGGATTTGTGAGCTCCTCACACAATCCAGTCTGGTTAAACCCAGAATGGATCGTAGGCAGGCCAGCCTAAATGTTTCTAACCGGCGAAGATGTTCCATTAGGGGGGTCCACGTTTCGCAAGCGTAGAGAAGGGAGGGAATGACCGTGGCTGAGAAGACCTGGAGCTGAGTGCGGAGCGACAGACCAGGTAGCTTCCACACAGCGTTACGCAACCGATGAAAAGTTATTGCCACTCGACTGATTCGGAGTGAGACCTCTGCTGTTAAACTGGAGCCAGTCATAAGCACACTGCCCAGGTATGGGAAACTCTCCACTCTCTCCACAACTGCCCCATCACCGATTGGGAGTTGTGGGGATGGAGTGTCCGATGGTACAAAATACCCAGGCAGGTGCTTAGTTTTGGTGGGGCTGATGGTAAGGCCCCACCTCTTAGTGGCACGTTCCATTCTCAGCAGCAGCGTCTCCAACTCCTCCTCTGAATGAGCTGCTATTAGCAAATCATCAGCATACATAACGTGGTTGAGCAATAGGGAGCCATCCCTTGACCGCACGCGGGCATCGATCAGCCTCCCATATGGAGATTCCCCCGGTACAGCTATTGAAGGCTTCACGAACTACGTGGTCAAAATAGATGTTACATAATGTGGGAGCCATAGGACATCCCTGTCGCACCCCAAGGTGTACAGGGAATGGCTCTGACTCTCGGCCACGTAGTTTTACCCGGGCCCGCTCACCATCATGAAGGTCCTTAATGATCGTGAGCAGAGGGTCAGGTACTCCAAAAGCACGAAGAACAACCCAGAGCCCAGGCCTACTGATCATAGGCCTTGACCAAGTCAATAAAGCAGATATGTGGGTCTTGTTGGAATTCCCTACACCTCTGCTGTAGCAGACGGACAGAGAACATGGCATCTGTGCAGGACCGCCCTTTCCTGAAACCGCATTGGGGCTCTGCAAGCATCTCCTCAGCGTGCCTGGCAAGGCGATGTTGAATAATCCTTGCCAGGACCTTTCCCGGCACACTGAGGAGTGAGATGCCCCTGTAGTTGTTAGAGTCTGTTCCGTTCCCCTTCTTAAAAAGGGGGACCACCAGGGCATCCTTCCAATCCTGCGGAACCCGTCCAGTGGTCGAGACTGTTGTCATGATGTCATATAGGGCAGTCTGTGCACAAACGCCACTCTCCCTCAGCATTTCGCTTGGGAGATCATCTCTGCCCGCTGCCTTTCCTGGTCTCAGACTCCGGATCGCCTTCAGTACTTCCTCAACAGATGGCACCTCAGCCAGCCACTCACAGGGGGTGACTTCTACCAATATTTGAGGCACCGCAGCCTCAGCAGGGTCATCCTCACTTTGTGCCACGATGTTTTCCTGGCTGAGGGATTTGCCCTCCACCAGGACCTCACAGAAATGCTCAGCAAATCTGCAAACCTGTTCCTGGGGGTCGGAGATTGGATCACCGTTTTTTCCCTTAATGATGGTAAATAGGTGTGGCGCTGCAGGTTACTTTTTTGATGGAGTTAAATAGAGATTTGTGATCACGGGCCACTGAGGCAGACTCCATCTCCTCAGCAACCCGTGACCACCACCCATCCTTGCAGCGCCTCACGGCTCTCTGAACCTCCGAGCGAAGGCTGCGGTAAGCCTCCTCATTCTCTGACGTGGGATTCTGTAGCTGATGACAGTGGGCCTGTCGCTTTTTCTCAACCAACCTGAACACCTCCTCTTTCAGCCAGGGTCTCTGGGGAGGTCTGGACCGCGTACCCAAAGCAGCCGTTGCAGCTGCATGAGTCACAGTCCTAAACCTCGCCCATTTACCCTTGACATCAGGAGGAGTGGGGGACGATGCCAATCCCAGCCGCAAGCGATGATGAAATTCTCGCTTGCAACTTTCATCAGATAACTGAGACCAGGCCACTTTAGTTTGGAATGGGGTCCTGGGTGTACACCCACCACCGGAGTGGAAGAATGGCAGGTGCATCTTACAGATGACTAGTCGATGGTCAGAGGACAGATCAGCTCCACGGTAGGTCCAGGTGTCAAGGACATGGGCTCGCATCCGCTGGTCTGTTACTACGTAGTCCAGCAGATGTTATTGCTTGGACCCAGCATGCATCCATGATGTTGTGTGGATGTGCTGATGCCAGAACAGCATGTTGGTAATTACAAGCCCAAGGGCTGCACAAAAATCTAGCAGCCTCCTACCGTTGTTATTGAGCTGATCTGGCCCATGCCCTCCAATCACTCCAGACCAGGTGCCAGCATCATGACCAACTCGGGCATTGAAGTCACCCAACATGATGACTCTATCCCGAGGGGCCACTTTAGCCAGCTCCTGTGACAGGAGGTCATAGAAGGCATCTGACTCATCAGCTTTGCCTGCATCCCTCCACGGATGTTCATCTTCGGTGGGGGCATAAGTAACCACGACCACCATTCCTCACCTCCGGTTGATGGGAAGGTGAGCCCAAAGTAGCCTGGGGCTTACAGCTTCCCACACCTCACTGCCACGCTCCCACGCCCCCTTCATTCTTTTGTTCAAAAGAAGAGCCACACCCTGTTGTTTGGCAGTCTGCTGCCCCGAGTAGAGGAATGTCCACCCCTCATGCTGGCAGGAGCCAGAACCGGTCCCCCGGACCTCCTGAATGCCACATAGATCCAGGCGGTACTGGTCCAGCTCCCGACAGAGGAGTGGTAGCCTCTCCTCCGCAGTGAGCGTTCGAACATTCCACGTGGCCACCCGTAGTGGTTTTTCGTTGTTTCTGGCGGAGCCCCGAGGGTAGATATTCAATCTCCTGGCTCCGCCAATTGGGGTTTGGCCAGGACACATCATAGACGCCTGGCCCCCCGGGGCCTCCAGCACAAGCTTATTAGTTTTTATACTTAATTTGCGGTTTAGTGGTAATTAATTGAAGGTGGAGGGGTTACCAGCCCCTCGCACCCGTCCAGAGCCCCCGTTTAGCCCCTGTGGTGGACACATATGCCATGAGGGGAGGAGCCAATCGAAATTGGACCTCCCCCCACAGCACTGTCCACGACAGAGTTGCCCGTCCGGCACCGCGAGGAGGTAGGGGGTTGTTTTGCCGGACACACACTCACACTGACACACACACAGACACTCCCACAGACATACACACTGACACACACACTCACACAGACATACACACTCACATAGACACACACACTGACACACACACTCACACAGACATACAACAACAACAACCGCCATTCGCCACTAAGTGACAGTGACGTCACCACGACGCTTGTGCCAGGCTATGTGCACCCTGAGGCCACATGAAGTGTCGAACGCCCGCTGGCAGGAGGTCACGGGGCAGACCCAGGTGCCACGGGTCGACTGACTGAGATGACTGGCTGATACACTACCTGTGCCCCCTACTGTGCCAACCTGCTGTGCTTTAGCCACCCAGCGCTCCACTCGTTGTTCTGAGCGTCGCTCCTCCGCCCTCCGTTGTTGTTGGAGGGCGACTACCTCCAACTGCCCAGTAGCATCCTTCACGAACCTCCTCCACAGAGGCCGATCTTGACACCGCTGGTACCAGTCATTGGCAAGTCCACTCAGCTCCACGTCCTCCTGTACCACATCACTCCATCTCTTCTCTAGCCCGTGCCGCACCCGCCTAGCCCCCTCAATCCGGCCGAACAAAAGCTGTTTCGGCATGCGGTGGCTGGGCATGCGGGCTACATGACCCAGCCATTGCAGCCTTGCCCGCCGGAGGAGCTCACCGATTGGACCCTGCCCAGATCTTTCAAGGATTTGTGAGCTCCTCACACAATCCAGTCTGGTTAAACCCAGGATGGATCGTAGGCAGGCCAGCCTAAATGTTTCTAACCGGCGAAGATGTTCCATTAGGGGGGTCCACGTTTCGCAAGCGTAGAGAAGGGAGGGAATGACCGTGGCCGAGAAGACCTGAAGCTTAGTGCGGAGCGACAGACTAGGTAGCTTCCACACAGTGTTACGCAACCGATGAAAAGATATTGCCGCTCGACTGATTCAGAGTGAGACCTCTGCTGTCCAACTGGAGCCAGTCATAAGCACACTGCCCAGGTATGGGAAACTCTCCACTCTCTCCACAACTGCCCCATCACCGATTGGCAGTTGTGGGGGTGGAGTGTCCGATGGTACAAAATACCCTGGCAGGTGCTTAGTTTTGGTGGGGCTGATGGTAAGGCCCCACCTTTTAGTGGCACGCTCCAGTCTCAGCAGCAGCGTCTCCAACTCCTCCTCTGACTGAGCAGCTATT